GGATTGATGACAATTTTCATTTATTGCCTCGGTGTGCAAAAGGAGCGAACTACGGCTCTGGCACTTATGCAGCCAATTCATTTTTAATGCGCTGCCAAGGTACAGGAACAGACCAAACAATGGACATGCAGCATTTGTCTCCATGCAGTGCGCCACAACACACGACCATGCATTGCTGTGCACCGAAACATGTGTATCATTGTTGCTTTGCCATAGTGCATTGGGGTGCTATACAAAGTGAATGGCACTGCAACGTACTAATGCACATAACGTATTGTGCATTAACATGAGTGTTACCGCAACACACCATATGACAAAGGTGTGTATCGATGCTCAACAATACCTGTCACATTTTATGAATAGAGATTTTAATTGGGGATGAGGTTGGGTTTGGTCCAAACCACAGCTTATCCAAACTGGGAAGTTGAGCATCAGTGCACATGCAACCAGCTGCAGCCGGGGGATTCCCCACCTCATAGTTGCACAGAAACAAATGGCTGGGTTCTGGTGACATCATTGACCTTATATGGCCACATGACAATACATGGTCAATGGTATTGACCTAAAATGACCATGTGGCCATATAGGTTGACAAGGATGTCACAATCATCCCACCCCTTTGTTTATCTGTGGTTGTGGAGTGAGGTGCTGGTGACATCATTGACCTTATATGGCCACATGGCCACACTTAGTCAATGGCATTGACCTAAAATGGCCATGTGGCCATATAATGTGACAATGATGTCATGAGCATCCCACCTCTTTGTTTATGTGTGGCTGCGGGGTGCTGGTGACATCATTGACCTTATCTGGCCACCTTGACCATATTTGGTCAATGCTGCGGCCGGGTTCAGGTGAGCTTAGATTCAGAGCAGTCCCGAGCTCACCCTTATTTTTAACCATTCACCACTATTGTTTGGAGTTGCTCTCCGGCAGGAAGAACAGGTAAATATCCTTTTTTTTATTACTATTTACTAAAAAATATTGAAAACACATTTTTTTTTTCTAAAATGTGTTCAGAGTCAGATATGGAGACGGATTAATGTGGGGAATTCTGATGGAAAATATACAACAAGCTGTGTGCAAACTAACAGTCTAAACCAATTATCCATCAATGCAGATGGGCCGGTCTATGCAGACATGACGCCGCGACCCACTGCAGAGGGTGTCGCGACCCACGAGTTGAGAACCACTGAATTAGATGATTAGGGAAGATCTGGGAGCTCCCAGGAGCGCACTAAGCGAACAAGGCACGTCCTGCCTAAGTGTGAGCAGACACGACCGACATCTTGTTAACTGGTGTGACATTTTCCTGAACTTCCGTCTGACATTTAAAATCTGGGAGCAAGACGGGCTCTGAATGCCGAGCAACAACACCTTCCCTCTAATAGCCGCAACAAATATCTGTTTCCTGACAGGGGATTGTTTTCTTGTTAAAGAGACACCAACCAGTGTCAATGAAAACAAGTGTTAGGTGTGTATAGATCTTAAAGCGTATCTAAAGCCCACTTTTATTTTCTTATGATTTGGATGGAGCGTGGAAGCGACAGAAACTCTGACCCAAATGGCAGAACAGCATCGGAACCAAGAGCTTTCTTTATATGTTGATCTTAAAGGAGAACTATGAGGTGAGTGCTTTTCACTCACCTCATAGTTCTAGCCGACCTGTGACAATGAGACTGTCACAGGTCGGCTCAGTAGATCGTGAGGTGAGCGAACACATACCGGCGTTCGCTCACCTCTCGATCCTGTCACGGCTCTCTGCCGTGACAGGGGAGGGGCTGGATTCCCCCCTCCCCGCTCCGATCCGCCAGCGCTGACTGGTGGATCGGATGGGGGAGGGGGCGGGTACAGCTGGCTCTGCCTCTAGATAGGCAGAGCCAGCTGTCAGTCACTCAGCTGGGCGGATCCAGACACAATTGTCGGGATCCGCTTCAGCTGCGGCGTCTCAGTATACCGAGAGCAACAGCTCGTGGTATATTGAGCCTAGGGTGACGGGAGGACGCTAGTTTGAAGCCTTAACCCCATAGTTGGCCGTGCAAATCCACAACATTGTCATACTGTAACACCAAACGATACATTGTATCATTGTTACGGTTTTTAAGCCCTAATGAAGGAGACGGAGATAAAGCCCCTGAAACGTGATGGCCTTGCAGGGAATTTGTCATTGGAATAAAGTTGTTTCTGGACCGAAGGTAACACTTACAGGTATTTTTTTAAAGGTATTTATATAGTGCCAGTCACCCTGCACAAGGAGAGAGAACAGCAGTGACCGGTCTTTATTACAGGAGGGGGCGGAGACAAGACCAGTCACCCTGAACAAGGAGAGAGCAGCAGTGACCGGCCTTCATTACAGGAAACTCCAAGTCTCACAAGAGACCAAGATTTAAATATGAATACACATGACTCTGGTATGAGGACAATATGTGCTTAGCCTGGAGTTCAGCTTTAAATTATATTTAGGAGAGGGGTTTCCCAATTGTATTATAGATATGTTAAACATAATAAAATAATAATAAATCAATTAATATTTACATATATATTTATAATTAAAGTAACTGATTATAGAAGGATAGGTTATACTTTGCTTTTTACTATGATGGGTATTAACAGATAGAATGCCCTCCTTAAAATCTGGTGTCAGACAAAAATGATACAATGCTCAATTCTAATTATGTACTCAGAGTTGCCCAGGAAAATTTACACTTTGGGGGTCTATTTATTCGGTCTTAGGAGTATCTGTGATGGATCATTATCTGCAGATACATGAAACAAATGAATGTTCTTTAGTTGTTTCTTTACAAGGCAATATACAGTATTTTCAAATGTTTTAGTCGATTTAATACCACATTATGGCCACCAGATGGCGGCGGGAAGCATAAAAAGTAAATCGCTATTTCCTGTGCTCCCTAAGCTCCATCTAGTGGCCATAATGTGATATTACATATATACATTTAAAAACATTGAAGAACGAATCTGTATACAACTTAAAACCTCTTATTATCTATATTCCTCCAAATTATGGGAGTGTCAAGGGAAACAGAGAGATGAATATACTCACAGGTATATACTGGACTCATTGCCGCCTATGTCTGGAGACTGCAGCTTCTGCACCAGAATGATAATTATGCCAACAAACAGCACAAAGTTGATCTGTTGAGCAAATAAATATTAGATAAAAATAAAGGAAAATGGCCTCACCAGGGACAGCATTCATGTTAAAAGGACAAAGGGCTTTCAAATAACCGTTAAACCATCTGTCTATGAATTAGAAGTCATGAATTTTTAAATGTAACCCTTGCAGTGGGGCTACCCCCACTTTGGTTTAGGGCCCCATATACAGAATATATACTCACCTGATACTCAATCCCACCTGACTGCTAGACTGGTCTCCGCAGTTTCTTCTCCCCTGGTCTTTGGCGGTCTAATGACTGCTGAGGTCATCACATCTAATGCATGCCCATTGACTTGCATTAGACATGGATGCCAAGGAACATAGCACAGCCAAAAGGAAGGGGTAGAAAGGTGAGCACTAACTGCCATGGGTACATCTGCTTTATTCGAGCCCCCCTAGACAAAATGAGCACCCAACCCCTTCCGAGCAGGGGTAGTCTCACTGCAAGGGTACATTTTACAAAACCCCAGAGTTCTTCTTTAAAACTAGCAAAAGAACACTCAGTGTGGCCTTCTCATACCACCGGTGTAACAATAGCTCATCGAGTAGCCCTCCAAAGGGCTAAAAGTGTCCATCAAAACTTATCCCCAGTTAACTTCAATGCTGTGTGATGTCAAATCTGAATTTAGCACATTTAGAAAGAAATTTGACAAATTTATGATAAACCGGATTTCTGCAGACTTGCTCACCGACAAGAGACGGGAGGAAGAAGAGAAGAGACAGAGGAAAAGTGACAGAAAGAAGACGAAGAACGCAAGAGACAGGAGGATGAAGAGAAGACAGAAAGAAGAAAAACACAAGAAAGGGGAGGAAGAAAAGAAGAGATAGAAAGGAGAAGAACTCAAGACAGGGGAAGCTGAAAAAAAGAGATAGAAAGAAGAAGAAGAATGAAAGAGACAGAAGGAAGAAGAATAAAGGTAGAAAGAAGAAGAAAAATGCAAAAGAGAAGAGGAAGAAAAAAAGATACAGAAAAAAAAGAGACAGGAAGAAGAGAAGAGACAGAAAGAAGAAGAAGAAGAAGGCAAGAGATGGAATGAAGAATAAAAAAGACAGAAAGAAGAACGCAAGAAACAGGAGGAAGAAAAGTAGAGACAGAAAGAAGAACTCAAGAGACGGGAGGAAGAAGAGTAAAGGTAGAAAGAAGAATGTATCCCCTTTCCAGGTTTTTTAATACAGCCTATGTCACAGATAGAATCTTTACCGATAAAGAAATAATGCCGAATGTTTTTTTTCCAACAGGTGAAGGTGTCTGCAGATGTGTGTTATGGATACAGTGAATGCTACTTAGTCAATGTCCCTCCAAACATATTCTTCTTGCGCACTAATTTGTTTTACTATTCTTCAATAAACAAAAAAAATACAAATATATCTAATAATTATA